GAATCTTTATTTCTGTGTTATATGTAATGAAAGATTTCTAAACAATAGTAGTCTGACTGTGCACAGTCGTTCTCATACTGGTGAAAAACCTTATTCTTGTAGTACATGTAATAAGAGTTTTTCATATAGGTCTGATCTAACTAAACACAATCGCTCTCATACTGGTGAGAAACCTTATTCTTGTAGTATATGTCAGAAGAGTTTTTCAGAGAACAGTAGTCTGACTAAACACTGTCGCTCTCATACTGGTGAGAAACCTTATTCTTGTAGTATATGTAATAAGAGTTTTTCACAGAAGAGTAATCTAACTGCTCACAGTCGCTCTCATACTGGTGAGAAACCTTATTCTTGTAGTATATGTCAGAAGAGTTTTTCAGAGAAGAATAATCTGACTAAACACTGTCGCTCTCATACTTTTGAGAAACCTTATTCATGTAGTATATGTCAGAAGAATTTTTCAGAGAAGAGTAGTCTGACTAAACACAGTCGCTCTCATACTGGTGAGAAACCTTATTCTTGTAGTATATGTCAGAAGAGTTTTTCAGAGAAGAGTAGTCTGACTAAACACAGTCGCTCTCATACTGGTGAGAAACCTTATTCTTGTAGTATATGTCAGAAGAGTTTTTCAGAGAAGAGTAGTCTGACTAAACACAGTCGCTCTCATACTGGTGAGAAACCTTATTCTTGTAGTATATGTCAGAAGAGTTTTTCAGAGAAGAATAATCTGACTAAACACTGTCGCTCTCATACTTTTGAGAAACCTTATTCATGTAGTATATGTCAGAAGAATTTTTCAGAGAAGAGTAGTCTGACTAAACACAGTCGCTCTCATACTGGTGAGAAACCTCATTCTTGTAATATATGTCAGAAGAGTTTTTCAGAGAAGAGTAGTCTGACTAAACACTGTCGCTCTCATACTTTTGAGAAACCTTATTCATGTAGTATATGTCAGAAGAATTTTTCACTGAGCAGTAATCTGACTAGGCACAGTCGCTCTCATACTGGTGAGAAACCTTTTTCTTGTAGTATATGCAATAAGAGTTTTTCACAGAAGAGTAATCTAACTGCACACAGTCGCTCTCATACTGCTGAGAAACCTTATTCATGTAGTATATGTCAGAAGAGTTTTTCACAGAAGAGGAGTCTGACTAAACACAGTCGCTCTCATACTGGTGAGAAACCTTATTATTGCAGTATATGTCAGAAGAGTTTTTCGGAGAAGAGTACTCTGACTAGGCACAGTCGCTCTCATACTGGTGAGAAACCTTATTCTTGTAGTATATGTAATAAGAATTTTTCACAGAAGAGTAGTCTGTCTGAACACAATCGCACTCATGCTGGCGAAAAACCTTGATCTTGTAACTTAGGTAATGCATTCTTTTAATAGATTTTTTTTACGCTTATTTTTTCACATAGGTGTAAATGTGTTTGCCTTTTGGTAACTTAATTCTTTTACTGAGTGTATTAAAAGGTTTTTTGAAATAAAATGATCTACCCTTTCATTTATTTTCATTGTGGTTTTAAAAGTCATTCTTCTATAGCTTGTCAATTTAGGTCTCTCCACTACACATTTCTGAGGTTTGTGGTTTCTACATCATAATTTTTTTTTTAAAATCAGTTCTTTAATCCACTTTTAGTTCAATACTTCTTTTTTACTACACATCCTCATCTTTCCTGAAGGTTCGTTATCCAAAACTTGAATTGTGGAATCCCACCCTCCCTCACGTACCAACAAACAATGATAAAGCAATAGTTGATTCCACAATTTGATAGAATAAAAAGTTTTGTGGGAGTACAAAATCTCAGCTAAAATTAACTCCTGGAATTAGTTTCAACTCTTTTGCCTTCTCCTCATTTTGTCCAAATTTGTTTGAAGATCACAGATTTTTTTAAAAAAATGCATTGTTGTTTTTTTTAATGGATTTTATGCAACTCTATTTTGCAAGGATAAATTTGGTAAAGAAAAAGGAAAATATAAATACACAAATGTTAATGCCTAAACACATTTTAAATAATTGAAATTTGAACATGTGTAAAGTGTGTAGTCCCATTTGTCCACAGAATGTTTTAATGTAGGTATGGATGCGAGATTCTATTCATTTAAAATGTGTAAATATAAATCTCAATGCAGGAATTTTAAATCACGCGAATACGAATCTCAACATTTAATTTTAAGATTGCGTGAATATGATTATGGATTTTAAAATCGCTTTCATACGAATCTCGATGTTTCATTTAAAAGTCTCTTGAATATGGTAGGTAATTTATTTACGTCGCGCTAGAGCTGCTCAATGGTCAATTGGCGACGGTCTGGCAAACATCTCTGAGGATGTCCCGATGCCATTCCATTGCAATTTTGATCCTCTGCAGAGGGGATGGCTCCTGTGCTTTAATAGCCCGACGACCTGCTCACGAAGTCTAGCACTTTGCGATAGAACAGTTTAACGAGCACCCTCGGTCCCTACGTTGGAGGCTGATCAAAGTAGTCACTAATTAGCTTACTGGCCGCAGTCAGTGATGCTTAACTTAAGTGTTCTACTGGGAAACCGTGTCTTTTCGATCAGTCCACTGCTTGAATACGAATCTCTACATTTCATTTTGATATCGCGTGAATACGAATTCCGATGTATGATTTTTAAGTGACTTGGCGGAACGTTTCTTGCATACGTTGCCACTTTTTTCCTGTATGGTAAGTCAGATATCCGGTAACATAGAAAACTGTGATTCTCAACATTAGAGCCGTGATGGTTCATGGGATAGAGCGTTCGCTTTCCACTGAGGTGAACCGGGTTCGAATCTGGGCAACGGCAAGTCGATATGAATTTCGCATCCAGCTTGCCCCGACCATAGTGCTGTCGTTAAATATCCTCAGTGGTAGACGGATTATAGGTAAGAATCAGCTTACCGGCAGGCTAACCATAGAAAGTTTTCCTCTCCATGTAACGCAAATGCGGGATAGTTCTGATACTTGATCCAGGAGTTCCTTTGTCTTTTGGATTCGGTTCAAAATAACGAAGATTACAGAGTTGAACATTAGTAGTCGTGAACCCCAAAAAATTGGATACAGAGTTAAGCTTTGGAAAATTTTAAAATATTACTTGAAATTTCTACAAATTAGTTCTGACCGTTTTTAAGAGATGGCTCTGCTGCTATGACTGTTTCATAGTGACAGGTGGTTTCAGAGAGGTTAAACATCTGTTAATAATATTCAGTTTATATCGCTTTGAGTTACATACAAAAACTCGGTTTTTTTTACTTTGTTGTTGAATATGTCAAATTTTATGGTAACTCAGCACCATTTGCGGGAGGTTTTATTTTTCTGCTTTAATTGGAAGAAAAGTGCAGCTGAAGCGCATCGAATTCTTGTAGAAATTTATGGTGACAATGCTCGAACTGATAAATCTTGTAGGGAATGGTTTCAAGAATGGTGAATAGTTTTGTATACTATGAGCTGCTACGACCTAATGATTCCATTACGGGCTATCGGTATAGGCTACAATTGATTCGTTTGAGCTGTGCATTATGAGAAAAACGGCTGGAATACGAGCAAAGACATGACAAAGTTATTCTTCTGCATAATAACGGTAGGCCTGATATCATAAAAATTATTTGGAAACGCTCAAACGTAAATATTGTTGATTCTAATACCACTTACTAAGACCGGCAAGCCTGCGTGGTGTAACCAAGCGAATTCAAGGGTGTGTTTCTTGTTTTTCTAGGGGTGCCATCTGTGTTCAAGAAAACGAATATTAGCCACACACACGTCACAGCCTGCTTTACAGGACGGACCCAATCATTAAAGGGTCGTAAGTATGACATGCACTAGAGAAGGATCGATCCCTAATTCAGTACCAACGAGGGAATTGATTTATTATGGGAACTTGGAGGACTTTGTGACCCATCAGAGTTGACGTGCGCAATGGTGCTGTCCACGTGTCTTTAGCCGGCGGGGATCGAACTCACGATCTTGTGGACATGGTACTAACGCCCTACCAACCTGGCTATCCCAACCTGTGTAGAAATTTAAAGCTGCTTAAGAGTCTTAATCATTTGTGTTTCGCAAAATTCAAACTAACCCTTATATGCATTCAATAAATTAAAATCTATATTGTTTCATTCGAATAAATATTTAATAGCATTAAATTCTGGCTCAATTGTCCGAATTGAAAATGGATGTTAGACTCATATAATTACGAGCGAGTTTTCTTCCTAGTTTTTCTTTTATTATTTGGATATCTTTTTCCAAAACTATTATATATATATATATATATATTTATTTATTTTTTTAATTATTCATTTAGCGTATCACATATCGCTTATTCTGAAAATTATTGTTTTATAATTTTTCCTTGTTGACAGCGCTTAAAGCCGCAATGACTCATAGGATAAAGCAATGAGGTTACACAGGTTCCAGTCCCAGTGGTGGTTGGTTGTTACGTATTCTGCGCCCTGTTCACACCGACCACAAAGCTAGGTGGAGGTGAATTATGGATATAGGTCGTGTTAACGACGTGAAGTTTTCGTTGCTTTCCTGTCAAGGTAACGAAAATGCTGGTAAGTTCCATCAAAATCCTACACGAAGGATAATGTGTCCAATGATCTAGGAGTTTACTTGTCTTCTGGGTTGGGTTCATTATTTGCAAGGCTACGGAGTTGAACATAGATGATCGTTAACTCAGAATTGGGTCGGCTGTTCGACGGTTATAAAATTAAATTAGTCAACTTTTAAGTTTGTGACTTTTTTTGCAGGCCATCTAATTTGTGTTTCATTATTTATGAGCCATGAAGATGGCACTACTTCAATATTCTCTTCCCCGACAAATTTTACAACAGCATACTGATTCTGTCCTGTAAAGAACATATTGCACTTACTCGCCAAAATTATGTTAATTACATGAACCAAAGCAAAACATTAAAATACTAATAACAATCTGTAGTTTTAGAATCAAAACAATATATCAAAATAAGCAGCAATCCTCAAAAATAGCAGTTTTTTTTTTAAATTACTAATAGAGATATAATAGTTCAAGGGTAGCCAAAAAGGAGAGAGACAATTTCAAGCAAAAGATGTTAATACTCGTTCATCGAAAAGATAGCGGATTTGCCGATGATGGTGGTGTTTTGATTTCGCTCTGATAAATATTAAATTTTATTGGTGATTTCGATATTTTATCTTCCTATTTTGTGTCAAAATCTTACCTCTGCACCATGCTCTAGATTTTAGAGTGTCTACAGTTGGTGAGTTGAATTACGAACTCGTATCTTATTTAACATTGTGTGATTCAAGATTGCGCCCGAAATGGCGATGATAAATAAATTGGTGACCTTAAATGATTGATTGATGGTTAATGCATGACATCTGTTTCAATTGGGTATAATATAGCCTACGTCACAGGTTGTGTTGTTCCTACTAAATTTAACCCATGAACGGCATTTTCTGCGAGCCTAACTTCAAGCCACAAATAAACAAACGAAGTGTTCGATCGTTTAAATAGCTGCTCGCCAGATTTTATTGCATTATAAAGAAAAGTTATTGAAACTAAATACAACTAAATAAACAACAACAACTAAAACAAATAACAACAACTACTAATAACAATAACTAAATAAACAACAACTAAATTCCATTCGTTTAGCATTGCGTCATATGTTGTTCCTACTAAATCGAAGTAGTTGTGTTTTTTTTCATATTATACCCAATTAATAGAAGACGGAACTGGATCAGTACCTGCTGATCAATTGCCTGCAACCGCGTCAAACTTCAACTGAGGGGTCAATTTAAACTTTGCGATGCTTATTTGAAACTTTTCCCGAAATTGGAGTTATTCGCGATCTCAACACTCGAATACGCCATCTGGGGAGAGACCGGTTTCATGCCTTTAGCCCTTCTCCCTTCCCTCTCCTCCTCTTTTCAGTTATATAGGAATGTACTACGATATTTTCCCTTTTCTTAATATTTTTCCTTTTTACTTAATAAAAATATTTTTTAAAATTTCCGTGATACTTTTCTTTAGAACTATGTTTAATGTAGTTTTCAGTTCCATATAGTTTTTCAAGTTAAAAGATTTTAATCTATATGAAAATCAAGAGAAAAACTAACGTACTTCCTTCTGTGACTTTCCACACGCTAATGGGGAAAGCATGTGAAGTGTTGCCATAGGAAAAGAGTTCTGCTCTACAAATCAAATTTTTGCAACATTTTGATATTGTGCAGCTCTAGTGCGACGTAAATTAACAACAACAGCAACATTTTGATTTTCGTTCAAAATTTTGAATTTGGGGGTCATTTCATAATTGAGAGTTGAGAGCGAAACTGGATCAAGATAAGACTGATACCTTTGATGAAACCGGATGTTTCATATGCTGCCTTTCTGAACTACCTGGCTTCCTGCTCACATCGAACTTTATCTCCTGCTGCAACTTAGGGATCATTTCAACTAAAGAGTGGCTGATTGTGAGAGACCATTTTTCACTGTTGCGAAAGGTGGTATAGTGCTGATGA